AGGCCAGGGTTCGATGCTGACCCTGTGAGGTACCTACAATTTTAGGTCAAAATTCCGTCACTGCGCCACAAAATTCGTCCTCACTCTGCGAGAGTGTTCCTATAGGCAATATCGAATTCCTCCTCCGGCAAGTTCCGACACTTGTTCCGAGCGACCTGCTTATACGCCCCCACAAACCGCATCAGCCTCTGCCCTTCCCTCTGCAGCTTCTCATTCGCTTCCTAAAGGGTCCAACACGAGTCGCGATTGGTGTGGTATGGACCCCTCCTCACCTCACACTCAGCCGGCTCCTTCAACAACTCAACGATGCTCTCCGCAAGTTGCCCGAGCTCCGCCGCCAGTGCCCCTCTGAGCTGCCGACCGTGGGAATCTACCACGACCAATTCTGACCGCCCGAGCCCCACATCATCCACTCACCGCTTTCAGCAAGTGCCACTACTAGACCGATGCCCTCATGCAATACACGCTCCATGCCAAAGGGATTTGCCTGTTGGAAAAATGCAGGATGCGGGGATCGAACCCGAGACCTTACCAGACTCATATCTCCAATCATCTCGTAACGCGGGTCCATCCTTGCAGCCTGTGATCGACGTTGCACAAGGTCCCCCGAGGCCGGTCCAAAAACGTATCCCATCAACCTCCTGGCAGCGTCCGCCGATATATGCTGCATTAGCACCCGCGACCGCTGTTGGGACTTCTCAACCTGACATCCCAGGTTCGATCCCCGGCAAGGGCGTTTCTCCCACCCTCTGTCTCTGCCTCGCAGCCACTTGCTCCCCTTCAGAAGATCTCGGTGCCCCATCGGATGACCCCTCTCGAGTCGTCGTAACTACCATCATCAGCATTCAATCCTCCTACCCCTGCCCGCTTCCTCCTCCTACTACTACCCCCTGCCGGCCTCCCTCTATAGGGTACAATGAGCTTCGACAACAGCAACAAGAGGTTCCCGAGGCTCACAGCAGATGCATCCACGAGTGATGAGGACACCAAATCGATCAACAACTCGATTCCACTCGGAGCCTTTCCAGTAGTGGACGCCGACACAACCTACGTACACACAGTTCACTAAAACACCGTTGGAGGAATATATGTTTGCTTTCCACAGCTGATTATACACGTTTACATATGAACTCGGGTAAAATTGTACAGAAAACAACAAGAATTTCCCCAAAATTTTCTCACAATTTTCATATAGTAATCAACACATGCATCCTTTCCCCCGCCCACCGGTCTGGTAAGCCAATCTCTCGAGCTGGGTACCCAGGTAAGGATAAATTCAACAGCTACCAGCAGACGTGAGGTCATAGTGCTCCTCACCTTCGCCGGATCATCACCACTAGGAACCTACACCGTACGCCAGCTGAGCACCTAAGAGCAGCCCCTCAGCATGCACTACGTCGTACAGCCTGGGGAACGGAGGATGGTCGGGCTGCCCTAGGAGTCTAGTGCAAGGCATCTCCATATCGGCCCTAGCCTCATCTACCACATAAGACAGGGCCCTCCAACACCATATACGACGACTGACCAGCAGACTACCTATTCGAACACTATCAGCGCCCCTGAGGATCTCCAATAGCATCCTCATAGCAGCCGTGTAGAGCCGTAAACGCAGAGCCTTGTGGAGGCACAGGTGGTGACTGAAGTGAAAGACGACTCACCCCTCCGCCGTCCCCTCCTCCCCCTAGCCTACGTAATCTCATCCAACTGCCCCTTCAGGCCAGGCAGCAGATACCTCATCCACAACAGCCGCAATAGTGTATCCACAAACTCCAAGGGCATCGGCGGAGGCAACTCTAATCGGTCGTAGAGGTGACACCTACACCACTGGCGTGTCACCACCACTCACACCACCAAGCCCTACTTTCTATCACTAATAGCCGTATGCTCTCCCCCTCCCCCAGCTCTCTCCCGACCACCCATCTGGCTTCCTCCAAACCTCGATCCCACGTCCATAGCGCCGCCTCGCCCAGGAGGAGCCGACACGTCCCACAGCCGTCCACCATCTACCCAATGCCGACCCCCCGTAGTCTCAGACCGTTGCAATACGTCAAATAGGAGATTCACCAGTGCCCTATTCTGCATACTTCCTCCCCCAGCTACTGCAGCTGGGTGAGGCGGCGGCCCTCCTCTATTGGCAAACTGCGAGGTCAGATCCAGAAGATGCACAGCATCCCCAGCCCCCAAGTTGATCATCTGCCCTCCAGGGCCCGGGGCCACATCAGCCCCTTGACCCCAACCATTGCCAAGCCTAATACGTATCCTATTAGCCCCTCCTGCCCGACCAGCCGCCTCTTGCTGCTGTAATTGCTGTCCACCACCACGACGTCCACCGCCGACCCCTGAGACAAGATCCGTCACAAAGTGTACTACAGCAACTACAGGACTTCTCATAAAAACAGCGTTAATGGTAGAGACCAGTTGTTTCGAAACCTTTTCCCATAAGTAATGACACTACTCTTTACTCAGTTGTGCCGCCGGTTGGACTCAGGCGGTAATTTTTCACACGTAAAAATCATTTTGCCGCATCCTAGACATTCCCAGAGTTGTGACAATGAGCTGTGATGAAGGCAAATTTACAAGTGCCCTGCTGAATCTGGCCTAGCGTGTCGAGCACTGCTGATGGAGAGCTTCCTCTTATACATCATTTCTCTACACAAAGGCGACATCTATTGAGGAGGAAGTCAGACGCGAGTTCAATACCCCCCTACCCCACTGCCCACCTCTTCCACCAGGCGCCCGCATAGCGTTCATACGAATAGTGCCAGCCCGATCTCGCAATGCCCTCGCCTCGGCTCGAACCTCCGCGGGTAGTGTCTCCAAAAACTGTGGCGTAGCAGTCATGAGTATCTCCTCTCTGAGCTGTGGGTCCGTCAAAGTAGCCAGAAACGTCGCATTGTCCATACCCTAAGACCAACCATCGTGCCAACCACCTCCCTCACCAGTGGTGGAGTAGGAATAAATAATCGCTTTCCTCAGCTGAGCTCAGGAGTTTCCAAAGCTACTCATACAAGTTCATGTACGAGATTTGAGAATTTCCCAAAATTTCCTCCCAGAATTTTCCCACTATCCCACCATATGTAAAAGACCATTGCATTTCTCCCACACCCCTCACCTCCACTGCAGCTTCCTCTTCCTCCTCTTCCTCCCCTTCACCAGCTCTACTAGTATTCCCAGCAGCCCCCGGATGCTGTTGCTGTAGCCTCCTAAGCGTGGCGTTATCAATCTGTGCCACATGCTCCCTAATGATGTCCTCATGCATCTCCTCCGGCAAAGCCTCCAGCACTGTAGGGTCAATGCCAGTAGCATCCAACAGCGCCGAGGAGTCCACGTTCAATCTCGCCGCTGCTGCACTCAAGGCCGGTATCTCCACTCTAGCAGGAGGCAACACAATATCCTCTGCCGCCTCTTCCTCCTCAGCCGCTTCCACTGTCGTTTCCTCCTCTCCCTCATCTACCACCTCTGCCGTGTCACCACCCGTCGGGACAACCGTGTCACCATCCTCCGCCTCCTCTTCTTGTTGTTGGTGTACAGCTTCTTCCACCACAGGTGCTGGGGCAACAGCCACCTCCTCCTCAGCCATATGCTCTACTGCCTCCGCTACCCCCAACACGGTTTCCTCAATATTAGCTCGCGCCGGTGGCAACACCCCAGACTGCCTCCACCTCTCGCCCACTCGAGCCGCTACGACACTCCCTAACGGTTGCTGTTGGACACTAGTTCCAGTATGTGAGCGCGCTATCAGCGGGTGCTCCCCTGGCGCCTGGACATCCAGAGACCACATAGGTTCAATCCCGTCAAACGACATCCTTCTACTCCTCCTCCTCATTCCTTCACTATTATTATGGCTCATCTCCCTCACAGCCGAATCGAAGATACTGAATATTCGCCTCGAGTGACCTCCACCGCCGCCCGGTGCTGCTGCTGTTGCCATCCATCGACCCTCGCCCGGTCTACCACTCCCTCGCCGCATCAGCTCATGCAAACCCCACGGCCCCGTCGGGTCACGGGCCTGCATTGCCCTATCCTCCTCTTCATCCTCATCACTACCCCCTATATGGAAAAAGGAATCTGAACAGCCACAGTTACTGCTGGCAGACACCCATCTACCTTTCAGAGATAGCCCCCCCAGGGTTCGATAACAATGAAAAATATGTTGTTCCTAGCCATGTCGAAAATTCAAAATAAGTTCCCTCGGGGACATTCCTCCACTACCCCATACCTCACCTTCACCATCGTCCCCCATCATCATGCCAGCAAGAGCGTCCTCGAAGTCCATATCCTACAAAGCAAGCAATGACCCGTCCTTCCACAATGTTGGAGGAATATATGTTCGCGCTCCTCATCCGAGTTGAACAGTTTCATCATAAAAACGTGTTCTGGTACAAGTGTACAAAAACCAACAAAATTTCCCCAAAATTTTCATATTGTCCCCAACACATGTAACTGACCACATGCATATTCCACCTCACCTCCATCTCTCCCATGCCCACATCCCGCAGTTCGCCGTCAACACCAACATCTCCCATAAACTCCGCCGCCTCGAAAAGCGGCTCCTCCTCTTCTTCCTCCTCCTCATCGTCATCAGCACTAGGCTGTCTGATGCCTCCATCATAGCGTCACCACCCGAGCTCTCTTCCTCACCTACACCACAGGCCCATCCAGCTTTGAGAAATAACGTCCCCCAGGGAAAATGTTCCTAATGCGATCAGATTCACATGGCAAACTGATTGAAGAATGTGTTCCTAGCCATACGTAGAAATGAGTTCCCCTCAGGAACATTATAAATTCCTGGATGATTCTCCGACCTACACACCCCTCCCACCGACCACGCCTCAGGCGTATGCCTCAGAGCTTCATAAAAATGAAAGCACCTATACTTCTAGACTCTAATTACACTTTTGCAGTAGCAGGTTATTCAATGAGGTATATGAAGGAAGACTCCAAGGTGTCCAGTTACAAACTCCCACCTTGCACTGTAGCTGGGGCCACCGTCAGTGGGGCCACCTCCATGGCGTCGTCAACACTAGACCTATCAGCCTCCTCCTCATCCAGTATGCTATCAGCCAGCCCCACGCCAGGACCCTCGTCCCCATCGTCCATCTCCTCCAATATCTCCACATGGATCTGCTGCTCCTGCTCCCCCACTGCTGGTGATGCTGCTGCGGCCGCCGGCATGCCCTCTACCGCCTCCTCCATATTTTCGTGGCGCGGTGACAAATTTCCAGATGAATCACCAACCGAATCGGCCCGAGCAATCCCTTCCTGCTCCCCCTTCGGTACAACATTCCCGCCATCGGGGAACTCCGGACACCTCGTCAACGGTACTAGAGGCTCCAACATACTCTAACAAAAATGCACAATCTACAGCGGAGCGAAGCAGCAGCAGCTATTATCAACACTACTACCTCCGCGACAAAAGGGCTATAGGGCTGATCAAGCTGTAGGACCCCAAGCGCCTCCCCCAACCAGCCCTTCACCTCTTGGACTCTCTCGAGCTGATACGCTTGGACCTCGTCAGCGCCCGGCAGCTGAACTCGACCGTCCAAGACGAAATGCTCTATACCATCCTCTCCTCTGCACTTCGTCAACTGCATACTATATCTAATTACATGTAAAAATTACTACCAAAAAGGCGGAGCGAAGCAAAGAATAC